AAGAGATGTTCTCTTGCTCTGGAATGTGTTACTGAATATGTTAAAGCTGTAGAGAAATGCTTCTTCTGATCATGTAGTTATTAAAAATTTAAAAAATGATTAAAAAATAATAATTCTTCAAAGCATAAAAATTTGTTCCTTAATAATTATTAGATGGGAAAAACATTACCAATGAAATCTATCTGATGACTTTATATCCATGCTCAGATGCCAAGGAGCTCAGAAAGTAAGCGACTGTGACTAGTAATAATCAGATATATAGAGATTAGAAATGCATGTGAAAACATTTTAATGTCAATTTCATTAAAAATTAATTTTTCTGTATGAAACTGTGTATTTTAATAATGAAATGGAGATCTTTTTTAAAAGTTAAAACCTCATTTAATTTTATGTCTTGTATGGTTTATACTGACTACAATATTGTATAACTGTAATAATTCAACTGTAAACCTAAAAATTTATAGCCAATTTTGAAAGAGATGCATCTTAGCTCAGGAAATTGTTATTGAATATGTTAATGCTGTCGTAATGAAATGCTTCTTCTAAGTATGTGGTTATTAAATAAATAATTAAAACAACAACAACAACAACAACAAAGCTAAAATGAAGGGCCCGTGGGATGGCTTAGTAGGAAGGCACTTACTGGGCAAACCTGACAACCTGAGCTTCATTCTATTCCTGGAACTTCCTGAAAACTGTCCTCTAACCTCTACAACCTACCCCTGCCCCCTTGGATGGCAGCACTTTCCTCCCTCATAACAAGACCCATTCTTGGACTTTGCCCTGTAGTTATGGCAACTAGAGCAAAACACACCTTCCCTCCCCAGCTGCAAGGGATCTGGTGGTAGTGGTGGGGGGAATATATAGGAAGCAGGGTAATCAAAGCAGAACTCCCGAGTTGCCACCCGTGATGGGGTAGGACTTTTTGTTGATGCAGTTCTTTGGGGGTTACCCATGTTCCTATAAGTAACCTCTTGTCTATGCTCTGGATTTTGGTGAAATCATACTTTGGTCTGACTTTGGTGCCCATCTGGAGTGATTAGATGTTCATTTGCTTCTCTCCAGGAAAAGGTAACACAGTTCGAGTCCAACATGGGGCAAAGCACAACCAAAGATGAGTTTGGGAGAAACAATGGCATGGTCCTGGCTCTAGGTAGCAAGGCACAGCAACTGAAGCTGAAGAGTCTGAGGGTGGAGCATCCGTGAGGGAAATTCTCATGTGGCCATCTTCCCCACGTGGTGTGTGGTAGGGTAGTGTGCCTTCTTGCTTTGGTAGCAGCTGCACAGTCCTTGCTGTGGGTAGTGAGATGTATAAATAAAGCTGAGCCATTGGGAACTGGAATGTCTGTGAGGGAAACCTAGCACTGGTAGTCTTCATCGACATGGTATGGGGTGACCAGCTTAATGTGTAGGGTAAACGTTGGGAGTAGAGTTGCCCTGAAAATTGTTGGTGTAGAGAAAATGTTACAGTCTCTGAGAGTAACGTGTAAGAAAAGAAACTACAGGTGGGCTGCAGCTGAAACTGCATAGCCACTGCTATGTGTACTAAGAGATGCATCTGAGCCCAAGATGGCTGCTCAGTGGAAACATTCTTATGTAAGGGAGGAATTACAAAGAGAAAAGAATATGTGGCTAGAGTCCTTCACATTTATCAGACTCTGATTTGGCAGTAAAATTGGACACAAAAGAGGATGAAATGGAGGTACTGGCTTGCCTCTTCTTACAGCTGGGGAGCCAAAAGAAAAAGAGTGCAAGTTAGATTTCAGCTAAAGAGCCCCTCCTGGGAGCCAGAAGCCTGGAAGCTCTGGAGCTGGATAGTAAGGAAAGTGAGGGTGAGGTAGAAGTGATAAAAGACATCCCTCAGGACTGACCTATCAACATGCAGATGAGGGCTTTAATAATGGCCCTGCACAGGAAACCATGACAGACAGGGAATATTCTGCCTTCGAACTTCTTCAGTTGTCAAGGACTTTCAAGCAAGAAATGAAGGAATCTCTCATGCCCTGGCTTATGAGGCTGTGGGACACGAGGGGTCAATGGGATCAGTTTGAGTGCTGTGACTAAGCAATATGACTACTCAACGCTCCCAGAGACAAAGGCTGCATCACCTGGGGCAATATGAGGGAAATCAGTTTCTCATCACTGTTTGAGGATCCTATGAGTATCAGGGACTGGAAGACAATAGGAAGGACAAGTGTAGTGGAGGGAGCTGAACTTCCGAGTTCCCTGGATCTGACAGGATTGTGTTTACTGGCAAATTAAGAAAGAGGTTAAGGGGCTGAAGAGATGGCTCAGCAGTTAAGAGCACTGGTGATTTTTCCATGGGACCCAGGTTTGGTTCCCAGTACCCATGCGGCAGCTAACAAATGTCTACAATTCCAGTTCCAGGGGACCGTCACCTATTCCTGGTCTCCGTGGGCACTGCATGCACTTGGTGCACTTACATACATGAGGCGAAGCACTGATACACATAAAATAAAATAAAAATATTAAATTAAAAAATAATAAAGAAATTAATTCAGCAAGGCCCTCAAGGTTGATATGCAGCCTTAGTGGCTTTACTGAGCCCTTTGGTAGGATTTGATATTTACGAGGTAGCCTAGCCATTGGCAGATCTAAGCAACTTAGATCAGGATAAAAACTGGGTCTGAAAAGCAGTAAAACATTCTAGGAGATGGGGGGTGGGGACGAAAAGGGTGTCTGTCTAGATCACTCAACGGCAAATGTGGCAAGATTTGTGTTAAGTTGGAGTACCTAAAGAAAACATTGACAGAAAGCCAAATGTTGTGCAGTGAGCCTCTGGAAGGCTTCAAGAGCAGTTCACAGAAGGCATAAATAATAAGACAGGGCAAATGAAAAACACCAAGCTTGTCACAGGGGTAGGCAGTCAAGTCCCCATATACAGTTCTCTCCCTCATGAAGTATGCTGGGGGTGAAAACTCTCTAGCCTGGGACTGTTAGAGTAGCAAAAGGAACCATAAGATTAACTGGTCAAGACTATAAAATCTCTATCTGTTGGAAGACCCACATTTCCAGTCTCATGGGTCAATCACCTGGTCATAGGACCACCCCTAGAAAGGCGGATTCACCTTAAGTCATGCTAAAGTGATGGGTGGAATACCTAGTGTGTTAATGAGATAGTGCAGTGCTTCTGGACCTAGTCATAGACATGTAGGTCTCTGTAGGCCTGCCTGCTTTTCTGAAGAATTCAGAAAAACGTTATCTCTT